TTTCGATTTTTTAAAAATAGATATTAACAAGTTAAAAGCTTTTATTCCATTAAGCGAATAATAACTTTTAGTCGGTTTAAATCGATTTGAAAAAGTCCGAAAAATCAGAGAAATCTACCTTTATGACTGAAAAAAATGATTTTAATGGATTTCTAATAAAAAAAGAGTAAGTTAGATTTTATTCTGATTTCTTTCCGAATATTTTTACACGGGTTCAGAGCGAGTTAAGATTATTTATTCCTCATGCGGTACACTGCGCAATATGATCACCGTCTTGCGAAACAATTTAACACTACACGGCCTCTTATTTCTTTGCCTCGCGTGTTTATCAAGATTCACCATCAATTGGAATAGAAGATAGACCGACGCGCTTGTCATTGCAAACTATTTTCTTATAGATATCAATGGGCTCTGGGAACAGTGCACTAACTGAAACAAATGTTTCACTTCGGTTTTCTGGACAAATCAGAAAATTTTATCGAACGGCCGAGATCGTTTTTGGCACGATCGAATGCTATCATAACGGTAATTCTGAAGTGACATTAAAAGGTGTCAGCGTTGAATTGGTCGACGAACTCGTTTATCTCACTCGCCAGAGCTCAAGTAAACAGAGATCATCAACTACTCATCGCATCCCTTTCTTTACCAAAAGGCTAATTATACATTCGACCGATGATCAGAACGAAGTTATCCTTACATCGGACAATCATATCTGCTCATTTTCTTTTCATCTCGATGGTTCACCTCCGCCTACTCTGAAACAAACTAACCATCAGGGTCCTTTTATTCACTATTTCCTTTGTGCCCAATTAATGCAATAAGATTGGTATAAGATACCCATTGAACAACGGTATCCCATTGTAGTTCAACGTTCAACGACGTCAGTGTGCACGACTCACCTTGAAAATCAGAATGAAAATCGAGCAGGCGTTCGTTTACATGCACTGTTCCAGACGAATGTCGTTGTTGCTGGTGAGCACTTCGCATTAGAAGTCGACTTACACAACCTAAAGCAAACACTAATTCATCGAATAGCGGCAGTGTTGATCCAAGAACGAATACTGGGTCCTACAGCGGAGAAAAACGTAATTCTGCTGACAAAGAATCTTACAGATGTCCATGATCTTCGGGGCGAACATTTGCACAGCAATTTCAAAATTTTTCTGCCTAAACAAACGTTAGCCTCGTTCTCGTGGAAACCAACTCGATGGTCCTTTCGAAGTTCATTAATCGTGCGTTATAGACTCTGTCTCAAGGCTCATATGCATGATCCCTTCAATAATGCTTTGTCTAGAATTTCCTTTGATAATCACAAATGTAGCCCCAGAAAGTGACGATGAAACAATGCCGCCAAACAACTACGAATCCCTTTTTCCTACTTGATATTGTCCTCTTTCATTCTATTCAGAGATTGTTTCTCTCGTAATTTTCTCTCAATAAACCGATGGTCAACTCATTCGAGAGCACTTGCTTATTATTTTGATAACCTCGTTTCGCTTTAGATGCTACTGGAATAAATATTAAAGGAACAGCGATCTTGTACTTTCACCAATGATACTATTCAAAATATAAATACATTCAGTTTTGAGAAAATGATACAAACAGCTGCCTACGCTATCAAAACTTTAGATTGACAGATAAATTTGAAGGGATGGATGTACACAGCAGGTGAAATTCAGTATATCAATGATCAACAATGAAAACTAAATTTATAGAATTAAATTATTGATCTCTTCGATATCACAAACCTTTCATTCATGTTATTAATTTTTCTGTCAACGATAAGCATCAATAAAAAGACAAGAATGTGTGTGAGTAAAGAATGATTTCATTTATTCAACTATCATCGGAAATATACGATATTATGATGAGTAGGTATGTAACAACTAAATCCTTGGCCGTATTTTGTATTTCATTGAATAAATCTTTCTTCAATGTTAAGATTGATTAGCGATCTAAACAGTGTTCATGCGTTTTTGACTCATTTTGTATAACAAACTAACACAGTAGAATGTGCTTCAACATTAGCAATTTTAGCAAAACGTTTATCAGAACTCAAAACACAATGTTTCTAGTTGAAGTGAGTTTCGTAAAATTTGATGACGGAGATTTTCTGTAGTCCAATAGATGTCTCTTTTACGTATGAGAATAGTACTTATTGTAGAGTCATGATTAATTTAGAGCACGAAAATGTAGACGCACGAGTCTACTAATCTGTCTATCAACGATATTGGCTGGTTTCATACACATGGGAGGCCATGAAATAAGATTGCCAGATAACTCTATGTGGCATGTTTGAATCACGAGTTGCATGTATACACACGACGTGATCATTACTGGAATCATTCCAGTGGAATGATTGAATCGGAGCTAATGAAGTCAATTGTTTCATATCGATATGTCCTCATATTGAACATATGTTGATTTCATCATGCTGTATGCTTACTTACCTGCTTATCCGCCAATCCAACAGATGATAAAATGCATTATATTGAAATCCTCTACTGAAACACACTTGCCGAGTTTATTTTCTTCGAACGTTTTCATATTGGAATCATTGTAATGCTTGTACACGCATTTCTTAGCTATGTCATGGTGAAAAGAATTGCCTTTCTGATAATGACAAAGACTTTTGTGAGTTATATGATTCATCAGAAACATATTGAAAGATTTCCATTTGATTTTTCAATCAGTTTATGATGGGCAGAGTTCCAAAAGCGAATATCTAGTATGTGACATCGATAAGGAATGAAAAAAGATTGTTTATTCATCTCTTGCTAAGCAAATAAAGTATTTCGATAACTTCTCATTAATATGACAAACATTGAAACATTTCGAGAAATAAGTGCACTCTTTATCTACATTCATTTCGTCTAGCATTGAAAATAACTGGCAATTACATTCAGTGCGCGACAAAAATTTCGCCCATATATAAACTCGTTCAACTGTTGCATAATGAAAGAAAAGAAAAACTTGACATTGTTATTGCACATAGTGGTCTCTGACAATTGAGGAGGCATATGCACTTTTTATGTTTTCTCATTTTTATCCTTCAGATTTATTATTTATTAAGAGGGATGAAAATGCAACATCTCACATATAAATCACGCTCAACTGCTTTAAAAGAAATTCAAAGAGGAGTAAAATGTTACAATATAGTAGCGTGCTGACTTGATAGTAATTGCTAAATAGTTATTTCGTGTCATATTCGCTTCTTTGAAATAATATTATTGACTAAACTTCATAAAACTGTATCACAAAAATTTTCTCATCGTGGGCCAACGACAGTCACTAGTGATGAATGAAAACTTTTGACTAGAACTTCTGATCATTACATTTTCAACAAGTTCAATAGTTGATGACTCAGCTGGCATGCACTGATAAATACTTAAATCTCTTAACTATGATTAAGGCAGACGGCATGGTTGTACTAAGGCAGTGTATGATCAACGAAGCTCAATCTTCAGATTGATTGCTTCGTGCACCTGAATTCTACCTAACTGAGTGCGATCAGTGTTTACTCTATCGAACAAACAGAAAGATACCATCACCGTATCAATAGCAAAGCTAAAAACAGGACTCAATCCAATATGCCACTCGATCTCAGAAAAAGTCATAAAAAAAGGTGTTGTGCTTACTCATGCTTTATCTAACGAAGAAATAAGAAGCTAAAAAATCAGATTGCTTATTATGTATGTCTCGAAGTCTTCCTTATGTGTATATGTACAATTCTAAACTGCACTATCAAAAGACAATAATTTATTCATTTCAATAGGGACAAAACTTTTGTCGGGGACTGATTGTAATCATGGGCATCCTATTAGTATACAGTTCAGCGAGAATAAAAGCAAAAACACATGTTTGTGTCCATCCAGCTATTGTGAAAATTATTGCAGATATCAAAGCCAGCGCATCAGTCTCACCATCTCAGTGAAGTGGTTGACGACTAATGTGCTGTTATTGTTAACTAGGTTAATCACTGACGATGGGGCAATTCATTCTCACGAACAAATTTATACAAAAAAAGAAGCTAAAACTGTGCACAGCAATCAGGACTTAAACTACTAACGTGACTAGAATGAATTGTTTCGTAACATCTTTCGTTGCTTCGAGGGGAAAACAGCGGATTTTCAGACTTCAAGAGATTTCAAAAGACTTCATGGAACTTCAGGAGACTTCAAAATCGAAGTTTCAGTTGCTTTCCAATCGAATTCAAATAGACAAAAAGGAATAAAATTCTTCATAATATTGATATCGAGTTGATGGAACACTTCTTATAGAAATAAACAACTTCATTTAAAACAATTGAACTATTAAGTATAATTTTTTTCGAAGTTCAAACGAGCACAGACTTTTCTAGCAGATTGGAAAAACAATAAAAGCTCAAATTTCCGCTAAAATAAAATTATCGCAAACCTTAGTATGTCATTATGGTTGTCTTATGAATTTTCACTGCACTAGATGTGCGTCAAAAATTCTAGAAGATTTCATGAGACTTCAAGGGACTTCATAAGACGTCAGGGAATCGCATAACTGAAGTTTCAGTTGTTTCTCTTCGCGTCGCTCAGTCTAGTCTCTTATTTGAAAACGATTTTCTCATCGATTCGAATCGACAACTGTGCAAAGTCCTTTCGTTATTGTTTTACTGTCCTATTGGTTATCAAAATCATTATTTTCACTCAAATTTAGACTTTCGTCAGCAATACAAATTATCATATGCTCCTGTCGTTGAAGACTTAAAACCGGAAATCATTCAAAATCATCATTGTCATCTATTGAGCCCTATCATTTCTTGTTAGTATCAATGCTGATGCACAAGAACATGTGTTCACTAGATTACTTCGATTTGTCCCTCTTTGTGAACTTCTTGTCGTATGTTTGTATTTTGACTCACTAAGCCTGGACTCTCAGCGAGTCATACATTTGAAGGAAACAATACCTAACACTGTGACTAGATAAAAGTTAATACTACAATGATTTATGATATTGTTGATTTGATTTTATTCATATCGAATGACACCTTCCTGAGCACAGGAAACAATCAAACGACCGTTACGAGTCCATATTCGACCAAAGGCCAGTGCTCGATTATTTGTTGCGACTGGACATATTAATTCGTAGAGAAGCCAATCATCGGCATGAATGGGCAATTTCTCGGGAGGTGGTGGCATTAATGGACTCCGTCGAACCGGCTTGAAAGATTCGTCCTTAGTCAATGATGGATCCTTAATCGGCGGTTGAAATTCGAAGGAATCATGAAACCACATCGTATGACCAAGTGAAGCTTGCATTTTCACTCGTAGACTATATTTGTTGATGTTGAAGGGTTGAAGGGCAGTACTGAGCAGGACCCAATCACTGGCATAGGCGATGGCTGCCCGATGCAAATGTGGATCATTTGGTAGAGGATCCAACGATTTCATCCAGGCCAATTTTCGTGCCGGCCATCGTGGTTCTGGTTGAAGAAGATCACGCGGATCACAATAGCGTATATCGAGCGGTAACGGCATTTCTAAGGCTGCTTCGATTAGAGGTCGTAGTTCTGGTTTGACGCGAGGATCATTCAGAAGATTTTGAATACGTTGGAAAAACGAGAGTAACTCTTCCGGTTGCTGAATGTCTAGAACACAAACCATTGTCTCTAAGTATTACATGTCGATTCACTCACTATTAACGGGTGAAGATGGTTGATATTCCAGATTGCTCTGCTCTTGCTGATGAAAACTCATATCACATTGAAAAACTACTCGATTGTCTTGTCGAGCGGTGACACTTCGTACTTCGAACGATCTTCCGTCACGCAATCTTTGAATTGTATAGGATATTGGCGAGGAATTATCTGCTCCCGAGAGAAAATATGAGTGAAGACTATGTAATGGATAGTTTTTTGTTAATGTCTTCTGTGCAGCGTACATTGCTGAGCCGATAATTTGACCACCGAAAACACTTGAACGATTTGGAAAGACGAAAAGAGTATCGGCTGGTTGAGTAAAAACATCTGGTGACGTTTCAATCACTTTTAATGTTTCGTAGAGAGTTGGTTGAGTGGCTCGTGACGAAATAGTTCGACAAAAGATAGAGCCAACAAGTGAACGACACGGAATCAGCATCTTGTTTGAGATATAGACGAGTTGATAGAATGAAACTCAATTACAAGCGACGTTGTTTTTTTTTCTTGTCTCAGAATACATTAGCCATGTGTTAGCTTGTGTTGTATTGCTTGTCAGCTTGGTTATTTTTCTGTTCTCCTTCATTTTTTCTCTTCATTCAACGAGAGAGAAAGAACAAGGACATAAACTGTCTTGAATCATTTGCAGTTCCCTTTCCACACTGTAAAGTAAAAGAACAGAACAAGAAAAAACTGTCTTCTCTGATATGTTCGATTAATAGGACTAGATTCTATTTGATATTTTACTATTCTCTCATTTTAACAAAACTAAACACTTTACGCAGTTTATTATTCTTTCTTTCGACTTTTTTTGCATTAGTAGTGCAAATATGTTAATTATCTTACTTCTCCCACAGATCATTGCGGGATTGAATAGTGCTAACTATGTCTTTCAATCATTATTTGTCTCTTTAACTCGTTCGAGATTGCATATAGCAAGTAATAAACTTTTTATGTTTGTAATCGGTGCTCTTTTCATTCTGCAGTGCACATAAGAAATAAATCAAAAGGAAGGACGACCTTCAAACTATGGATGCATAGAAAAGCGGAATCCTCTTGTTGGTGGCAAGCTATCGCAACAACACGATAGTGACAAAATACCCATAAGCAAAAAAGCCAACCAATCAGAAAATCAGATAAACAAAAAAAAGAAAGTATTGTAGAGGATGGCAATCATCAGATGACTGTCCTTACCAACAGAATATCTATCATGTACCTCAAAAACAAATTATCATGATTTTCGTTTTCGTCTATATGGAAATGTCTTGTAAAAATACATAAATAATTTATAGATAACAATAACTGCCGCAGAATTTCATTTCGCATTGTTGGCCGTAGACTTGCCAAAACAGATAAATCATCAATACTGTGCTGTCATATCACACTACATAATCACACCAAAAAAACTTTTGTAGATCATCTGTCTGATACATCGTACGTGGTCTAATCGATACAAAATTTGATTCTATATCAATTGATATAAGATCCATCTCCCAGACATATTAATGAAGAACAAAATGTTTATCTTATTGTTGTGTCATTACCTGAATCGGAGACCGTAATGAATAAGAAAAATCTCGATTCGGTTCATAACAAAAAAAGAGTTTCTTCATTGTCATGAGTAAAATGTATCTACAGTCCGTTTAAAATTTTACTCAAGTTTTCGTGTGTCTATATGCTAAATTTATCGATCCCAAGATATTTGGAAGTTTTAAAAGGGAGCTTCAGTACATATTAGGACTTGGATTTTACAAAAAGAAATGTTCTTCTCTTATCAATCGATGAAGATGGTAGTTTCTGAATTTAAATAATTAGCGTTGTTATAGACATCATTCACTTGAAGGGGAAGGCACATATATTAGGAACATGATAATTCAGACTTCTAATTTCAGTCGAAGTCTATCTCAAGTCCGAGATCTACACTGCAGTTGATAACACCTAAACATGGTTAGATAATTATACAGTCTTTGAATTAGAAAACTACGATATTTGATCTCACGGTGAAAATTTTGCAACGTCAGTTGCCATATCAACTGGTAAATCAGAATATGTAGCTGAGTAATAAATCCTCAAATCTACCATTATTCACAACTGCGCTACCGATCATCTAGTCGAAGAAGCAAACACAGGCCATACCAAAAACAGAACTCTATGCATGTGTTGACTAAAAGGGTGCAAAACATTGGCAGCTCTAAATACTGCATTAAACTAGAAAGCCCTACTGGGAATGTCATTAGAGAAGTAGTCATGAAAACGGCTGCACGTGGAATCTTCTTCCTCTCAAATTATCTATCTTAAAATAAATCAACAGAGACTGACTTGTTTAAATAAAGTATAAGCAATCATTGACCTAGTAGACTTCCCACCGAAAGAGATCGTACATTTTTTAAAAGCACAAGGTACAGAGAATATAATCTCTACACAGAGGTGAGATTTATTGTTCATGCTTGAGACTTAATGAAGGAATTGCTGCTGTGTTGAACGGAGTGAGTTACATTTGATTTGGTTCCGGCTACTGTTGGGGATGTGGGCGTAGAATTTCTCTCTCATCCACACTCTGATGCCACAATAATCACTAAACCCAAGCATAGTTCAGCTCAGATGTGGGTGTGGGATGAGTGGACGCGAGTTAGGAGAATGTTCACTATCAACGTGTCTCACGCCGATCCTAAAAATAAGCGAGTGAAATGTAAGAAATATGAGATATCTATGAGCTATGGATCCCAAAAAAATATTGGAGCAACAATTTCCGCTCATTGACATTGCTTGATCAGCACACCAAAGCAATCAAATTTTATGAAAAAATGTGCTTTTTAACACAAAACGGTTGCTTCTTTTTGTACATTCTGGTACCTTCGTAGAAAACACTAAAACTAGCAACTTAAACTTTATTAAGCACGTGAAAACAGTATGACAAGTTTTTTTGACGAATAAATCGCCTAAATATTTTCTTCCATAATATTGTGGCGTCTTTTAAACAAAAACAAAATATTTTATTGAGAAAAGAAACTAATAAATTTTGGCAAAAACTTTTAGAATGTTTTCTGATGTCGGTTTTCATCAAGTTCTCAAATACTGAATGATACGCAAGTTTCTAGTTTTGGGGTGTTTTGAGCGAGCATGAGAATCGACAAGCCTGAACAGCGATTGAACATTTTAACGTAGTTTTTTGTAGATTTTGACTGTCGTGAGAGGTTCTAACGAACGATAGCACAATATATATATTTGATGTTCATGAAACAACAGTGTCGAAACGCCAGAAAAATGCTCGAAGACCTCAAGTACGATTTGAAGTCTTTCATCCTCATCCTCAACCAGCCCATAAACTCTGTCACTAGATGGCAACGAAACTATTTCTTAATTGTCTTTTAGTTACTTTGCAAAAGACAAGGCTTTCAGCAATCTGTAGAAGACTTTCATGTAGACTACAATAAAATCACTACTACCGTCGAACAAAATTGAATGTCCATTTTATTAGTGCTTTTCCAGAAAGTATCAGGTTTTCGGAAAAAATAGCGCTCTCTTAAGGAGCGGCTCAGTATTCGCTCTCAATCATTGTTAAAGTTTCCTGGTGTAATTTTTAAACAAAGCGTAAACTCTATTCAACAACTTGAAATCACATGAAAATATGCAATAGTCGTTAGGATGTATAGAGTTTCGTCTAAAATTTTACAGGCATCAATGAGCAATGTATTTCAATATACGAATATTTACTAGACCATGCTAAGTTTTAGGGAAAATGATCTCGTAACACTTAATCTTGATGAAAAATAAGAAAAATGCTCTTGTTTTATGCCGCTATTCATAAAGATATCAATACTCTGACGACACGTCAACTAAATCCCCGTACCAAAAGAAACTGCACATCTGTTTACACACACTAGGTACATAACTATCATTCTAAGGTATGTGTATGAGTTGTAGTATCTGGTGTGAGGTGTGAGGTGTAGAACGTGGATGGCAATCTTCTCTTCGCACCCATGCAAACTGTATTGTCAGCCACCAGATTGATATAAATTTTTAAAAAATAAAGTCCATCTGGATTCTGCATTTCACGCAGTAGTGAATAAGTTTCACGATTTCTAAATGTTTTAAAAGAACTTCGCAATTCAAATATTCATGGAAAAAGTAATCCTGATCAACAAGAAACATAATCTAAAGACCCAAAGACCTTAAGTAACCTAAGCAATTCTAGGAATTTAAAGAAATCTAGGAACTATCTTAAACGTGCGCGTGGGTGAAGAGTATATGCAAACGTACGTTCACACTCACTCCATAATCAGCATTTTCATATTTGATAGAATGATGCCAAGAATGCACATACTCATATATACAAGTAATGCATTAGCTAAAAAAATTCTAAAACGAAACCATCATATTCCTAAATTTGACTAAAGTATCTTTACAAAGCTAAAACTTTTCGAGCAGGTCAATGTACAAAAACTTGTGTAAGTTGAGTTTCATAGGCTTCTCGAAATGCTACAGCGAATGGGGTCATTTAGAGCAACATATACTTGTGGACAAAAGTAGCTACTTTCCTTCTGCTCAACTATCTGAGAATATATCTTACTAACTGGACCGGCTTTTTGTGCGCATAGGATTCTATGAGTTGTCTATTCAAGCATGAATCTGAGCTCGACTAGTTAATGAACCAGGAACTTTTTAACGATATACCATTTCTTAGATATGAATCAATAAACTGCATTATATTTGGATTTCCGAAAAGATGATTGTTCTTTGGTTCTCGTATGAGTTAACACTAACTTTAATGGTGATTTAAGTAGCTTTCGACATGCAAATTCTTGTATACGAAGGCTACCATATTTTCCTTTGATTCGAACACTTGTTTTATCATGCGCTGGCGGAATCGTGGTTCTCGATTCTACTTAGTGGTGTAGCGCTGGAACTTGTATGGAGCACTTATGAGCTTATTACGATTCTTCCCAGAAGCCATCAAGTGAACCGATCGAAACCAATCTAACGGAGATTCAGACTGTAGGTGTGAATCATTTCAGGTGTGCGTTTTGGTCTTCACTTGGCCCATTCACATTCCTTCCTATTGCCATCCCTATACTCTCAATCACAGTTACAGTCACAGCCAAACATATACACACACATAATGTATCGAAAAGAGCGATTGATTTGGAGTTTTCAGTATTTGAAAAAGGAATATGCGAAAAGTACATGAATGTAAAAATCATTACATTTGAAAATGGTTAAAAAGTCTCTGAAAATCTGGTCTTAGGTCGTCTTCTACTTTGCATCCACTGTAAGTTTTTAGAATTTTGTCTTCCTTCGTTCGGCTATTGCCAAGATGATCGTTGCCTTTTTAGAAAAGAACAAATGTTGTATTCAGCCGGATATGCTAGCTGTAACAATCGAATGAAAAGCACATAATTAAGCTTAATGATTTTTTTAAAATTTTAACATCAATAATTATTT